GTAGTTGTAGAACTGGATGTAGTCGTGGTACTGGTGGTGCTAGTCGAACTCGGGGTGCTCGTTGTTGTTGTTGTTGTTGTAGTTGTAGAACTGGATGTAGTCGTGGTACTGGTGGTGCTAGTCGAACTCGTGGTACTACTAGTGCTGGTGCTAGTTGTTGTTGTTGTAGTTGTAGTTACCGAAGTAGTTGTACTTGCTATATGAAAACATTCAAATTCATGAATTTGCTACAGGCACAAAATCTAAATTCTTACTTGTACTTGTTGTTGTTACACCTATAATAGAAGAATTTTTTTGTACAGCTTATAATTCAATATATTTACCTGTTTCGATCGCCGTTGATAGACCGAAGATAACTCCGAGAGCGATACCGAGCGCCATACAGGTTAGTAAACATGTAAGAAAAATGAAAAAGCCAATCCTTCTTCGACGCCTGCGTTTTTTTTTCTTTTCCGGTTCGTCCTCTGGTTGAATGTTATTCAATCTTAAAAAGAAACAGCAAATGCTAAGAGCTACGTTAAATAAAACATAGACCAAAACAAACCCAGTAGGGGAAACTTCTCTTCCTGTTGTTTGATCTAATTTCCATGTTACGCTATTCCAAGAATATCGATATCTATTGGTATAATTATGCCAAGAAATGCTGCTTGCTGATAAATTATTAGAAGGATGAATCCATGCATCATCCCATACACTTTTACCATGATCTATATTACTAGATGACGACAATTGTGTTAAATCCAAGTTGCTTGTTTCGGTAATCAAATTACTAGCCGATCGAATATGTGATTCATCCCATACGCTTATTCCGTGGGACGAATCATTGAGCGCACGAATTTCTGGCTCATCCCAAATGCTTCTCCTATGAAAACTTGCGCTAGCCGTCTGACGCTGTGGTACATTCCATATGCTTTGGCGTGTATCTGGAACAGTGGACGATTGAGTTCGAGATTGAGAATGAATGCTAGGATGAACTTTTGCAGAGAACGAATGTTCAGGGAGATATTGACGAAAATTCAGTGAAATAGCTGAAGGTGATGTTAATACACTCTAAATCAAAGTACTATATAAAGCATATTTGAAAATGAGTATATGAACTCACCTTTTTATTACCCATGACACTCGCACTAAGTAAAGTTATCAATAAAATGCAATCAACAAACTCATCGATATAAGGAAACAAGCATTCGTCGTACGTATTGTTTCAAAATCGATTCTGAAGTAAATTATGCCTGCCCTGACAGCAAATACAACAGAGTGGTGTGGAAAATATATGCAACAAATCAGCCCTGCACAAGTGCGATTCAAAGACTTACAAAAGCCTTATTTCAACCATTGCTACATTGATTACAAACATCGTCACCCGGTAGAAAAAAAATTATAAGTTTTCGATCCAACGTTGTTTGGCTGATTACTGACATCGTTACTGAATCGAAAAAAAATTTTTTTTTTCTATTAAATCACTGTTACAGAAGCTGTTTCTTGTGCAAAACAAATAATAATAGTATCTTGATTTGAATACGAGTGAGTTGCAGCATTATCGCAGAAAAATGTCTTAAAAAAAATATATTAAAATGCTTAGTGTAGTTGATTTATTAGATTCATGTCACTTTTCTCTTATAAATAAAAATAGTTGCAAAGCTATTCCAATATTCTAATCTTAACGGAGGCGCTCATAAAAATCAATAAAAAAAACGCCTAGTTCAATTACTTCTTTTTCACAAATCAAAAACAGTACAAACACGAAAGTCAGACTCTGCTGTGCAGATGTAACGTAGCAATCTATATCGCGACATGGCATAAACCCATACTCATAAAACACCCACAAGACATATAAGAAGTCGCTACGATAACTGTGTGAAGCCGTTCATGACTTTCCAGTAAACTGATATCAATTTCTATATCGTTGTCCCACGTTCTGTCAAGGGAGAAATAGGAAATAATGGAGATGATTCCCAACAATGTCAACCATTGATATGCGTAAGAATGCCATAGAAACTTCAGCAATCTATTTTCATACATCCTGTGTATGTCTCACCTACTCAGTATGCCATGGAATCTCGACGAACCGATTTTCTTATATTCTATAAGCATTTCTCCAAATGAATGCTGCGAAGTCTTAACTGAATAGACTGTTGTAGCCCTGATATTGACACAAGATAGTTCGCCTAGTCAGTATTGGAGGATAGAAATTGTAATAATGTCTAATGAGTTAGGATTTGTATTGAAGTTGTTGCAAATCATAATTGAACAAAACATGATAGAGAGAATTTCATCTGATTGTTAGAGAAAGAGATGTCTACGATGAATTTACATACGATCACCTCGTAATTGAAGGATTAGTTTTA